TTATTTCATGAAACATACTATATTTTGTGTCATTTTCGTCTTCTTATTTCAATTTCTGACAAGATGGGAAGTGTGCTGTATTATTTGACTTCAGTGCAATTTGCATTACATCAAGTTGTTTGCGGAAGCCCTCAATATGTCCATAGAGCTGGGAGATATTTTGTTTTTTGCCTTGTAGTTTTAGGTTTAAAGCATTTAGATGAGATGTTAAATCTGTCAGGAAAGCAAAATTATTTAAAAACAGAATTTCTTTCGGGTTTTCTTGATACTCATGTCCAATGTTTTCATTTCTGAGAAAAGCAAGAATTTCATTCCTCAACCCAAACATCTGCTGCAGGCAATTTCCAGCGCGTAGCCAACGCACTTCACAGTACAATGAAATGTCACCATACACAGCTTCCAAATTGTCCAGGAATGCAATAAATGCCCTGTGTCTCTGGGCTTTTTTGCCTCCCCTTATTAAATTTACAGTATTTACAACAGTTTTCATTGTCTCACTTGGCCCTATAATTTTTCCAGAGAGAGCCTCCTGGTGGATAATGCAGTGGAAAAACAAACAATGTATGCCTTTTTCTTTACACAGTCCTACTAACCCACTTCTATGACCAACCATTGCTTTAGCTCCATCTGTTGCAATGCCAGAGCACTTCTCTAAACCACCATATTTAGAAACGACATTATCCAGTGCGTTGAATATGTCAATACCTTTGGTGCAGGTTTCTAATGATTTTAATTCCATCAGTTCTTCATGAATTTCAAATATTTCGTTTATTGTTCTGACAAAGATAAGGAGCTGGCTGATGTCAGCTATATCTGTGCTCTCATCTAGAGCAATGGTCTCCAAACTACGGCCCGCGAAAGAATTGTGCAGAAATGCGCCAATTGAACTAATTTTCCAATGAGTACTGGTACAAAAATACTTGTTAATACTTGTAATTATTACCATTTTTGTATTAAAGGCAACTTATGCCCTGTTTTGCTCTAACTGTTCCGAGAATTGGTAGCGAGGAATGTTGATAAGGCTACCGGAACTTAAGTCCATTCTACGA